TTTGACACCGATGCTATCAAAAGCACTCTTACAAGAGTTGTGATGAGTGATTTTTCTTTGCCAAACTATTTATCAAACAAAGCTAAAGATTTAATAAATTGTTTGCTTAGAAAAAATCCAAGAGATCGTATAGATTTACAGAGTGTATTAAACCATGATTTTATGCAAGAAAAAATTATTTGTGATGGACCCTCAATATGGTTTCATCAATCACATTTTACTGAAGACAGTGGTTTCAACACAATTTCATTTAACAAGGAAAAATGTAGCTCCTCAACTGGTTTACATTGTGTGCGATCAATTCATAATCCAAGTATTGAAATTAATCACCACAATGGAAATTCTAACTTAAATGTATTATCAAGTTGTAGAGATTTTTATTCAAATGCAGAAGGTGATAAACAAGAATGTTGCACATCAAATGTATTAAGAAGTTTCCAAAAACACAGTAATAATTTTCAAAATATATACCATGTCGCTCCATCACAGCATTCTGAAAATAGACAATTTACCGTGTTTGATGATAAATTTCTACAGTCATTTAAAACCTTTCCTGAAACAAGTTCATCAAATAGAATGGCTGAATGCTTAAGCACGGTACGCTTGCAAAAACATAGACACAAAACAAAAAATAAAGTATTAAGTATTTTAAACAATGGAGATGTATGTGTAGAGTTTATTAAAATGAAATCAAAATCTAAAGAAGAGCGAGTTGTAGAASTAATACGTATTTCTTCTGATGGTCAGCATATGGTTATATATAGACCAAATAAAGATAGAGGAGTAAAGTTACATGAAGAACCTCCACCTATACCAGTTAAGGGAGCTGATGAAGTATATAGTTATGAATCTCTTCCTCAACATCATTGGAAAAAATATGCATATGCTGCTCAATTTGTCAAGCTTATTGCTTCTAAGACGGCCAAAGTTGTTTTTTACAGTGATGAGGCAAAGTGTCTTCTTATGGAAGATGGAAAAGCATTTGAAGCGCATTTTTATAATGGATCTATGGTATCAAGTCTTGGAAATGGAGATATAAAAATAGTAGTGAATGGTACACCTAAATCTTATAGTCGACCAGAATGTTTAGATGAATCAGATAAAATAATTTACATTAAATTCAAAAAATATTATGAACATTGCTGCTTAGTTGAAAAAACTTTGTGTACTCTAGACATGAGTGCTAACAGTGGGGTTACTGTATTTCCAGTAACATTAGGAAGAAGACCTATACCAAATGATAAATCTGATATACCAACAAATTGTAAGTTAGAAAAAGTAAAGAGTTCATTTTTAATTAAATCTGGTGAAATTTGTATAAACTACGGTGATGGATCACTAGTAAAACTTGACACGACTACTGGTAAGGTAAAATGTGTGACCACTCAAGGAGTAGTAATGGTGTATGATCAAAAAGATAGACATCTACTACCCGAGTGGGCAAAAAGTTGTTTAAAAGAAATTCCACATTTACTTAAGCCAAATGAACAAACAGGAAACTGGAAATGGTCAAATAGATAATTGTGACTTTAATTTAATACTTTTACTTATAATTTTTTGTATTAAAGATAAATATTATTCAATTGACAAATTATTTAGCAAAAATTAGTCTTCCGTATTCCATTAGGTAATTTATTACCTAGCTTAAAATATAATGTCTATGTTAGACAATTATGTAAAATATTGTAATTTTATAAATAATTTTCATTGAAAATAACAATGTGTTTAACTATAATATAGTCTAATTATTTTGATAGATGTTTAATTTTAAGAGGTTAAAATAATATTCAAAACAAAATAAATTCATATCATAAATTAAAAAAAAAAGTTAACAATATTATTATATTATTATGTTATATGTATTGTTTAAGTATATTTATTTAAATTAATTATGCATATCTTTATCATGAAACTACTAGTAGGTACTAGGTACCAACCTGTTTATAATTTATACCATTTTTAAGAGAAAAAAAGATTTTAAAATAAATAACTAGGTCCAAGTACTATAGTTAAATAATTATATAAAAAAAAAATGTATTAAAAATTGCAATGAAATAAAAATAATTTTTTAATTTTTTAAATGTTATTTATTTTATTATTATTTCTAAACAACTTACTAAATATAGTGATACTGAAGTGGATTGAACTAGTATAATACTTATGTCAATATAATAATGTATTCAAAGATATATATATATATATTAATATATTATTATACTTTGTAACAGTTAAATAAGTTTTATTATGATTCAATTTTTATGGATTAAAATATGTTCTTAATTTATTAGTGATTGCTATTTGTTGTGACATTGTGATTTTATATTCTGAGTTACAATGGTTAATTTGCGTTACCTCGGTAACTCAAATAGTTACATAACAATGGACATAGTATATGACCAAATAGGTGCAGTGGCATAATTAGGAATTTGGTTTGGGGGGGGGAGGGGATATTTGTTTAAGCATAATCTATAAGCTTCATACAGTAACCTACCCCATCAAATATAAAATTTCAGCAGTAAATCCCCTTTATCGCCCCTGAATAGGTATGACACTATTTTAGATTTTGAGCAAAAGAATGTATTGTAGTAACAATAATGTGTGTTATTCAAAAAATTAATATATTATATAATACTATAAATAATTTTAAATAAACAATTAATAATACATCTATACTMACAGTAGATTTTTAACTGTTGAAAAAATAATATGTAAAAATATTTCGATAATAACAATAATAATCAGAGTTAGTTATTGAGTTGAAGCTTAATATTTATATTTATGTTCGTATTGAACATTTGAAGTTCTGATATCTTATACTTACATTATCGTCAAAATATTATAGAAAACGTAATATTTTATTCCCGGGTACCTACTATATTATGGTCTTTATTTTAACGTTTAGAATGATAAGTATAATATATAATATACCTATTTGTTAACAATATTTATATAAATCACATTCATATGAGTAATAACTAATAATGCGATCTGGGGATTTTTATCCCGGATTCATAGTGTTCATGCACATTATTAATTATGATACTCAATTATAATTAGGTACTTCGGTAATAATAACCTATTATTTAGCTTTATTATTATTATATTACCACAATTACCACTTAACAACCTCCCTTCACCATTAAAATGTCCGTGTACGCAATTCACCACAGGTAGATAGGCTTTATTAGTTTATTATCACTTATAATAATTAGTAGCTGGCTAACTTGAAAGTTGATCGATTTTCACTTGAGGTGACTGACTTGTTGTAGAAATGGAGACTCAAACACACATTTCGAATTTACCTACCTAAATTTTTTTACACAAAAAAGCGCGGGGCATACGTCGGGGGACCGTATTAGGCGTATTATTCAAATGCCTATCTTGGGTTATGTCAGATTTCTAGACATTCAAACACGACATTTAACTCCACCACCCATTCTTTTTCAGGGTCGGTCTCGAGACTAAAATATATCGCCCGAGCCCAAAATGCACACTGTCGCCTATTTCATTCAACAACTCACACAACCATGGCTAAATATTAGCCATGCACAATGCTCAGAAAATAACAAAGGAACACGGAAAAAGTATATACAAACATATATCATGTATTATTGTCTAATTTAAAAAAAAAAATGAAAATAACATATCGTTATGACTAAACATAGCATTGTACATATATTACATATACTATTAATAATAAAAATAATTTATGCAGAAATGGTTGTAAATTAATAATATAGATCAGAGATGTAGCGAACAGTAGAACATCATAGTAAAAACAATATAGGTAGCACACCTAACTAAAATATTTGTTTAAAATTGTTATCGATCAACCATATTTTTTGGATTTTTTCTCGACAAAACTATTGTAAAAAATCCATTCCTGCAGTTATTATTTTGTTTTCTATAGATACAATCAATAATAAGTTCAAAGTTCGCTATCCATGTTTTTATCAGTTTTATTTTAAGAGAAACTCTGTTCACCACTATAGTTACCATCACCGGTACGCCAAACCATAATAATAATTAAACTTAAAAGGTATAGGTACATATATTATTCTGCAGCTTTACAAAATTACCATAATTTTCATTATTTTTTAGTTTTTCGTATTTTCAAAAGAACAGATACTAATATAACCGACAAAATGTACAGTCTTAAAAAACAATTTTGGCGACCAACTTTGCCTTGGTCGCACGCACCGGCCCTGCGCACTTTCATCAGTTTTCAAGGGCCTCCGAAGTTTCCGATGGCAGTTAGTAAGTTATATACATAAATATTATATTATATTAATAAAATAATACATAATTAGTAATTACACTGTAAATTTATAATGACGTATCATATGCGTTTGTCATTGTCGACGCACATCATAAATATATAATCGTGCCCATTAAATAGGCGACGCGCATTTGCGCAATAGTTTATTGTAAAATAAAAATGTCGTCCAGAAACGGCGGAACCAGATTCCAGGTGGCAGTGTGGCACTCGCTACTCGCACTATACTACTCACTACTACAGCCAGACGCCAGTACAGCCTATGGGACTATAGGAATCAGGAGAGCCATTAGCATTAGCATTTGCCATTTAGCATAGGCCATAGGATAAAGAAAAGATATTATGTATTTATGTCATTATGCAATAGGCAGATTCCAGAATGCAGACGACGAAACGACGCCCAGACATTTCATGGAGGTAAAAACACAAAACCTAAAAACAAAAACCGAAATCTAATCAGCTTCGTCTGTAAGTTTGTTTGTGATGTATGATTTAATTGGTTGTGTGGTGGGCACGATTTAAGATATACACTAATATATACTAATATATACACTAGATATACACTATATGTACTTAAAGTATATCTTAAATCGTGGTGGTGGGTGGGAATCATCAACTAGGATAGTTCATGGTGGAAATCACTGGTCGAAATGACATGGAACATTTATCGGAATGGGATGGTCACACTGTAAACTGTTGGCGTTACCCTGTAACCCCGTGCCTACCACAYACACAGTGCACCGACCGACGCCCGCGGCCATATTCCATAGTTTTCCTGTCTAAACGTCCGTCCCGCCGCCCGGTACCTTCCTACGTCCAGAATATTTTCTAGCGCACCATCCGTCAAGCATTGCCATCAATTTCTTCGTCCCGTTACTGTCACCCACCACATAACTCGTCTCCGTCGACAACGCTTGACTGCAATCACACACATACGCACGAAACCCGACGACAGACAGCCGCAAACATGTCAGATGAACAACCAAAGGAACAGCAGACTAACGGCACCAACGACAACAATGGCGTCGATCAATCCAACCTAGAGGAACAAGTCAAAGAGGACGACAGGTAACATTTCGTCGGCGCACTCTGCCTCTAATGGTTTTCCGTTTCAAAGCGGATGTCCGTTGTTGTAGAGGACTTATCTTAATAATTTAATATAATAACTCATCCCAACAACCCACAAACGTTTCTCGGCGACAGATGCCGAAATATACAATCCCCAACTCCGAATATGCCTTCCTTTGCGGGTGACGCTCCTGATGCCTTCGGCTTTCTGAACGGTCGACAACAACCGTCATTTTTATTTTTCATTAAAAGTGAGAATTAGTATAAAAGTTGACAGCCCTATAGGCTACAATTTTTGGCCAACCAAGTGTCATAATTTTTTTTGCGCAGAGCATAAGTATTGAAAAATTAACCAATAGTAATTTATTGTTGAGCTTCTTGCCTTCGTATTTCATAGCATTACTCATTTTGAAGTTTGTGTTTATTTTTTCGTTTCTTTACTGTCATTCATTGGCGGTAGTACAAGACATTTTTGTACTTCTAAACTTAATGCTACCATATTTAGTGCGTTGCTCACACTGTCATGAATATCAGTCTGACTAAATCCATACTAAGCCGTTAACATTATATTCTACAATATTTATATAAAATGTGTATCAAATAGCTGTCTCCTTATCCCAACTAAACTAATACTGAGTATAATATTTCCGTTCATAGTTTTATAGCCTTTATGTAGTGTAGATTTACTTTTTATTTTTTTAGAATATTTTTCTTATGTTTTAGGTTTATCGAGGTGGTTTTATTTTTATTTTAATCATGTCTTTTCATTACTGTTTTTATATTAAAAAATAGCCTTGTTACTTTATATTGAAAAGATTTAATTAGGTTAGGTCACCTTCTTTTTACAATTTTTCTACAACAAAAGCATAAGCATGCTCATTAAATCAAAGGAATTATTAAGTAGTAGATGAAGCAAGACAATTATTACTTCTATTTAACAAACAAATTTGTTTTTGTATTTATCCCCATATAGTGATATTGGATATTAAAATGTTCAATCACTTGTTTTTACCACTGTTGATCACTATGTTTATCAGTCCATTTAGTTTAGTTAAATATGATAAAAGATAATTTTTTAAATAATTTAAGTATAGTAAATAAATATATGCCTACCTCGATTATAACTTTATTAATTATTTATCTAAAAAATAACTATCCATTTTTAGGGAGGTATTAAAGAGTATTGTATTTTAATATATTCTAAATTTTCCTTGCAAGTATTCACACGTTAACCACCAGCAGTCACATGTATTGGCCATATACATAGCCTTATGTACCTATTATCAGAATGCCGAGCAAAGTTTTAAGTGCTATTTCATCAAATAGTGTTTGGAAAAAAAAACTAATGAGTTCCGTTGTTCTTATTATTTTAGCACCATGAAAAAATTATGATATAAAACTATTCTTTTACGGTTGCCGGCAATCATAGACATGGTAGTAATGATCAACACAATACGATTTTGAGAATTATAGATGACTGCTGGCAGTTAACGTGTTGATTAGAATTTCTAGCTAAACTTTTTATTTAGATTTGCATTAAAAAGTTATCCGGCATATAGTGATATATAAATGATATTGTGTAAAATTATGCTTTAAAAAATAATTATATTTCTCCTGTAAATGATAAATAAGTAAGTATTTCTGTATTGGTCATAAAGAGACGCTACTATTGAATAAATTATTGTTTGATATTAATTTTTATTAAAGTATTAAAGCATAAAGCCTTTAATATTGGTTTAGAACAGTTTTAAGTCTTAACTTAATTTGTAACTTACAATAAATTGGTTAGGCTTAATCAATAAATTACTTATCATGTAACTTAAGTTAGATTAATTTGTTAATTTTTTGTTTGATTTTATTATTATTAATAATGTTAACGTATAATGTTTATATTAATATGTATTAACTTAATGAAGATCTACAAGTTGGCTTGCCTACTTCTCAAGGGTTACAAATTCTTCTCAATGGGCTTCAAGATCCTTAACTTTGGATGCAAACAAAATATTTTAACTGTTATAACACAATTTGAACGAGCAGAAAAGTTCATGTAAATTATTTTCCATGATAATCTGCGTCTCTTCAGGACCGTATAGGCCTATGTATCGATTACCTTTCAACGTGGTGTATAAATATGCGCAGGTGACGATCATGTCATTCATTGAAGAACGGATGATTAAATTATGGACACATTGTACAACAGGTATACGTTTGACAATGGCTGACTGATTTTATTGCGGCGACTATGGCAGTATCATCACCTACCAAATGGTAGGAATCATTAAGTATTAAACAATAAATAAATGGAGAATGAACTGTATTAATAACTTAGTATGAATTAAAAAAATAATTAATTATGCATCGAGTTTCAGTAAAAACTGTTTTAGAGTAAATATTGTATTGAAGTTCAAGAAAAAAACATTTATGCAATTCATTGTTACAGTTCTCGTCACTAAATAATACACACATGATTCATAGCAGAATTTGTTGGCCTAAGATTCTATTTTGAACTACAATTATGGCCTGCTTGTGTAGTATTTAAAAAAAAAAAAATAACATTTTGTTCTGATGTAATTCTAATACTTATGTATTCTGATATTATGTTTATGTTAATACATATTTATATATATATATAATTATATATATATATATAATTTCTTTTATTCTCTAATTTTTTTACATTTTTTTTTTTTTTTTTTTTTTTTGGTAGTGGTAAATTTTCCTCATTCTCCTGATATATAAAAAATTAAACATTTATTGTCTGCTTTAAAGAAAGTAGATAATCAATGTATGGTTGTGGTATATTAGTATAAATTAAGTAAAAAATCCATTAAAAAATTTTGATATCTAATTTAATGTTCTAGCTAGAGTGGGACTTTCTATTTTAACCTTGCTGTCTACACCTATTTCATTGCTCGCATCCGGTGAAATACAAGCTATTGTGTTTTCCCCGCATGCTGACAAACCAAGCTAGGACATAATGTTGTAAACTAAATTCTGTTTGATTTTCTTTTAACAGGCTCATCGTATGTATGTAATATAATTAATTGGTTAATAAAGGAAAAAATGTATTTTTATGAAGTATCTGAATGGCTCACTTTTTGATAGCCTATTTTGTAAATGACAGAATTCTAATTTTTTTTTCCTATGGATTTTTTACTTTTAGTCTTAGAATTTCGATTAGCTGTAATTTTTCGTTATGAGATTGAATGTAAATTACTAATCATGTATTTTATTTTTTTATGATTCCAAATATATAAAAAATCAATTTTATTAATCATTTATTTTTATAGTTAATTATGTTGTTATTAAGTTTTTTTTACAAAAATTCAGCTATGAGAAATATTATAAATATAGAAAACTTTCAAATACAATTCATGATTGTAAATTGAAATATATTTGAAAGTTTGTGTATCATAAATATCCTTGCTTTTATTCCATTCCTAGTCCTTTAGTATTTCATAGAGTAAATTTTTGTTTTTTTTTACATTATAATTACTACAAATATAATATTTTATGACTAGGTTGTAGGTTGTTTATATAATTTATTTTATGTACATTGTTAATTTATTAAAGTAATTTCATGGGAAATCGAATTTAATCATATAAGATGCAAAAGTAGTGTTAAATATATAATATATTTAATCTAAATCTTGAAAAAAAATTTTGATATAAATTACCTGTTTTTTTTTTTCTAATGTTTATACATTAATATTATTATTATTATTATTATGATTATTACTTATTAAAAGTTACTATGCTATATAATATCTTATATTGGGGAAAATAAACGTGTAATTTATTATCTTGTATGGGTCTTAATCTATTTTATTTTATATTTTATGAACAGCAAAGTCTTAAAAATGTTTTGTCTAAAATTCCTTGTCTTTATATCCAATTTTAAATTATTTAAAAAGAATATTATAATGTTTTATCTAATATGATTTATTTTATTTTAGGAAATTATTTGTTGGTGGTTTAAGCTGGGAAACAACAGAAAGTGAGTTAAATTTTAGTTAATATATTATTGAGTAGTAAGTACATTATTATGCTTTAAGACAGTACATTGTCTATTACCCTAAAATCCCTATGCTTAGATTTTTACAAATTCCTTTTTTGTTCCCTTAATAGTTGAGTACTGTAATATTATTTACTCATTATAATATAATATTAATATATTGATGATACCTTTGAAAGTGGTAATTACTGAAATCCTTAACTGTGATTTAAAATGTATCTTAGTTTCTACTATTAAATAATATCTACCCATGTATTTAAACTTAAAAAAGCTCTTATTACAGCTATCTAACAAAAATCTTGTTAATTATACTTTTATTTTATTTGCAGAGGAATTAAAAGAACATTTTGTTCAATATGGAGAAATCACTAACATAAGTTTAAAGACTGATCCAGCAACTGGACGTTCCAGAGGATTTGCTTTTATAATTTTCAAATCTGTTGATGGATTAAATAATGTAAGATTACATTTTTGGGATGTTAAGTACAATTATTTTACATTTTTTTTTTTCCAAACAGGCATTTGCTGCTGGTGACCATGTTATTAACGGTAAGAAAATTGATCCTAAAAAGGCAAAAGCAAAACAAGAGAAGGTGTTTGTTGGCGGTTTACCATCTGATGTTACAAATGATGAAATCAAAGAATTTTTTGGAAAGTGGGGTGTTATTGTTAACTTAGAAGTTCCCTTTGATAAAATGAAAAACCAACGCAAGGGTTACTGTTTTATCACTTATGAGTCAAGTGATAAGGTGCAAGATCTTTTTAAAACTGCCAAGCAAACAATCAAAGGCAAAGAAGTATGTACCAAATATTTAACTATTTATTTATCTTATAAAAGTATTTCATTTTGATATTGATATAGGTGGATGTTAAAAAAGCTGCTCCCAAGCCTGCTAATCCATATGCTAACCCTAAAGCAATGAGAGGACGAGGAGCAGCCCGTGGAGGTAAATTAGACTTTTATACAATTATTTAAATTAAGCTAAAAATAAAATTGGAAATGACACAATTTAAGCAAAACCACTTACCTTGTTTTATGAATAACGTTGAATATAGAAGGTATGCTTTTGTTCTATTAAAACTTAGTTGATTTCAGATTGATTTTGAATAATATATTCATTAAAAAAAATATTCAATGCAAATCTTTCGTATACATCAGTTTAACTTAATATTAAATAGTTGTTTCTTTGTTAACATAAATTACATTAATTGTGTCATTTTTGTTTTAAATTATTTAATTACCATTTAATAACTTTCAAGAAAAGTTTTTATTAGTTGTACTTGTAATATTTATCTAAATTAACTTGAGATATACATAGAAATTTGTTTATTTTTTTATGCTTTGAAAAAAGAAACCTCTAAGCAGTTTGGTATCTTAGCTGTTGATCAATATTTTCATGTAAAATTAATTATTAATCATGAAATTCTTATCTCAAGTTTGATTAACTGGCATGTACATATAAAAAAATTTTTTTCGTTTGCAACATACTACTTATTGCTGTCGAATTACTTAAAATATGAAAATAGCATGTCTATTTATATGGTAGAATCTATGATCAATTATGTTCTAAAAATTTTGTATTGCGTCCCTTGGTTTTTTATATCTAGTATAATATATTTTCTGAGCAGAAATGTAGGCTATTGTGATTTTTTAATATATTTTCATTAGATACCATTCCAGTGGATAAAGGTAAGTGCTGGTGGAATCAAATATATAAAAAGTCACAATTAAGACTAGCTCTTATCAGCATCATCTTGATATGATTTATTGTTTGCCATGTATACTTTTCTTTTTTTCATTACATTTGTTTTTAAATAAACAAAAATAAATTTGTGAAATTTAGTTTGAAGTTAACCTTGGTCGCAACACTTGATATTTAAATTTATGGATTTCAATTATTTTCGAGTGTTCTAAATGTCACAATTTTACAGCGTCTTTTTATTATGCTTAAGCTTATGTTAAAGTATTAACTGATGAAGGCTTCGGCAAAAACTGAGTCAAACAATTATTTGCATTAATTTTTGTCTTGTAAAATTTTTTAAGAAGATGGGATGATTAGTAATTAAATATTTATGGTATTACTGAATTATGCTGAAACAAAAGGTTTAAATCAATTTTGTTTGGGAAAAATAAGTTTTATTAAAGTTTATTTTTGATTTGAAAATATTTTTTAATGGGATTTTAACTTTTTATTTTAAAAATTAATTACTTAATATTTTAAAAAATAAAATTATTTTTTTACCTTTTTTGTTTCAGCATATGGGCCGTATGCTGCACCATACGGGACATATGGAGGTAAGACTGTTTTTCTTTTGAAAATAAATTAATGTTTTTATTGAATAAATTAACACTAATTCAATAATATAAATCAGAAAAGTTTTATATTGTAATAATAGTTAAATTTAATTCAACTCCTGATAAAGTTAGCAGGTTTTCAGCCATATACCCTTTTAATATTGATCATAAGCTTCGGTATCACCTCGAGGTTATTCTTGTTCATAATGAACAACTACTAATGAACTACTAATTGTTGGGATTTTTTTTTTCAAATATACTGAAAATATATTTTAAATAGAAATAGTGTATTAATGATGAGTATTTATTTAGTCAGTTCTGCTACTGAGTATAATTGAAGAAAAAGATTTCTGAAATATTACATTTTTAATATATCTATTTGTATTATAATTTTAAGTAAATAACATATTGTTATTAATTGATGTGTATTTTAAGATAGATCAGTTCTGTTACAGAATGTTGTAGAAATTAATTTTCTGATCAAATGTATTTCAATCCTATAGTTTTTAGTATAACTACTATAACTATTAATGATGAGTATTTATTTAGTCAGTTCTGCTACTGAATGTAACTGATGACAATAATTTTCTGAAATAATACATTTCTAATATATGTATCTTTATTTCTATTCAAAGTATACTACATTATCGATGATGAAAATTTATTATGAAGTCAGTTCTGCTACTGAATGTAATCGATGAAAATAATTTTCTGAAATAATACATTTGTAATATATGTATCTTTATTTCTATTCAAAGTATACTACATTATCGATGATGAAAATTTATCAAGTCAGTTCTGCTACTGAATGTGTAATCGATGAAAATAATTTTCTGAAATAATACATTTGTAATATATTTATCTTTATTTCTATTCAAAGTATACTACAGTATCGATGATGAAAATTTATCAAGTCAGTTCTGCTACTGAATGCAATCGATGAAAATAATTTTCTGAATTAACACACTTTTAATTTATATTCTCTTACTATTTATTTTATGTAAATAACTTAATTATTGATGATGATTATTTATTATGTTTGTTCTGCTACTGAATGCAATTGAAGAATATAATTTTCTGAAATTAACCCTTTAATGATTATGATGATAGTCATTAATTGATGCTTTGTACAGTTAATTGTATAAGTTTAGTTGACATAATATCTCAATTCCACTATCAAAAAAGTTTTAAGAAATTCATGTTGGTATTATAAATATGTACATGATAATAAATTTGTACTGCTGTCTATTAGCTATGAAAAAAAAAATTCTAACAGTGTCAAATCACATCTTTTCCTACTAAGGGTTGGAAGAAAATTTGTTTTCATAGTTATTTATTATATTAGTTTGTATGTCTAAAACAAAACTTAGCCATCAACATGTGTTAAGTGACTAAAAAAAATAAACAAAAATTATAATGGATATTAAGTTAAAGTTATAAACAAAAAATGTTAACTTTTTGTATAACCCACGTTATGGTGTTCTTATAAATTTACAAACTATAAATCAATAAATCGGTATAGTATGAATCTATCTCAACATAACAAATTACTCAACAGAATTAAATGAATTGTTCAGAAAGTACAATATGGTATTTTATGAGTTTATAATACAACACTTATCGTTTATCGCTCTCTTATTAATTTAAGTATAATTTTTGATATTTAATAAAAATTGTTAATGATGAGTTACTTTTTAGTCAGTTCTGCTACTGAATGTGAATGACGAGAATCTTTAACCTGAAAATATTGACAACAATTTCTCTCATTTTTAATTAAATATATTTTATTTATTTTTCATCTATGAATAATTGTTCACAGCTTACCCTCCTCAAGGATATGATTATTATGGAGGAGCAACATACCCAGGTTATGAAGCTGATTATTATGGTAGCTATGGCTATGCTGGATATGGTAAGATTATTAACTATTAGTTTACAATGTTAGATTAGTTAAAGCTTGTAACTATAAAAAGATATTATTTATTCAGATTATGGTTATGGATATGAAGCTCCACCAGCTCCTGTTTCTGCTACTAGGGGCCGAGGTAATAATAATAGAGAATAAAAAATAATTAATATTATTACATGGTTTGTATTGTATTTTTACAGCTGCATTTAATGGCGCTGGAAAAACAAKAGGAGCATCTCGAGGATCCGGTGCAAGACATGCTCCATATTAAACTTTAAATACCATTTCTCCCTAATTTTGTGTGTGTTTGTATGTTCGAGTGTGTACACTTTAAAATGACATTATCTTTTTTTATATATAAACAAATCATTTTTCTTGATGACAATAATGACTTGTGAAAATAGTAGAACTCCTCCTCCCTTCTCTCATTAGTGATATATGTTTTTAGCATATAATCAATGAAATGTACAAATAAAACATCTAAAATTAATATTATTTTAATTAAGCACAAACCATATGGTAAATTATAATATAAATTTACTTTTTATACTTTTTAGGTTAGTATACATTTTTATTTCCAGTAAATAAAAATTAATTAGACATTTTTAAAGACTTAMACTAACTGTGCATATAATATGATTATACTAGTTAATTTTGGTTTACTTGTGTGATTTTTATATGATAATTTAATATGTTTGATTTTTTTTTTTGTATAATATTAAAAATATATCATATAATAAAATATTTTAGGGCCTTTGCAATAGATAACTGATACTTATATTGGACATGAAAAATAATTGTTCCACTTAAAAACCATTTSTATTTATTTATATAAATTAGAAAACAATAAACTTGAAAGCATACAATATTTTCTTTAATGAATGAATCATATGATATGAAATATCTATATATGTATTGCCATACAATTTTATAAACTTGAAAGTTAAATAATTGTTTCTTATTATTTACATCATGATAGTTACATACCTGATGACATAATACACTGGCTATTTGGTCACATATGTGGGTCTGAAATTTACTTTGATTAAATTTGTCGCATAATTAGTTAATTTGCAACAAATACAGTGGATTAGGGATAATCTTAGTTGTAAAGAAATAACTATTTGAAATGTGATGGAATAACAGCTGTGTATGTTTTGCCATGTTAGAGCTGTTATAGATGAAAATTGGCTACTCAAAGAAAAGAATTCAATTTTGTCACTAGAATTTAGGTAACAAAAATATGACCATAAACTACAATGCAAACATCTTGTCTGTTATTAATCACTACAGTTTGAACAAGCAAAGTTTTCTGATAATTGATTTTACACAAGCCCGGATCAAGGGGTAGGCGGCATAGGCCCATGCCTAGGACGGCATTTTTTAGGGGTGGCATTTAACATTTTTGTAGTCAAGTTCCAATGAAATGTTTTTATTTATTTTATATTCTGAGCGGAGCGATGAATGTATTGATTTTACCATGATGTGTGTTTTTATTTTTTTGTGTCTCATCACGTTTTGGGGCATTAAAAATGCTTCGATTTTCGACTTCAGTACTTATTAATCTAATTAATTGTTAATTTTATGTAAACAAATAAAATGAACTCAAAATTAAGACTTTCAGTATTGTTTATGTAAAAAAAAAATTTGATGTAGTGTTTACATGTAAGTGGCGACAATACTCAAGTTTGCCTAGGTGAGTTTAAGCAATTGAGCCGGGCCTGATTTTACAGCACTATGAATATCAATTTAAAGGAACAAAATATGTATCAGTTATATATCTGGCTGCTGGTTGGTTGGATAATTTATGTATTCTATTTTCTTTTAATAATTATGCAGTTTTCTAGCTCAGAAACATTCCTTTTCTAGTATTAAAATTAATAATAAATGTTTTCACGATTAAGACCGTAAGTAAATTTGGGGTTTATAATATGCAAATACCACGAAACATGGGACAAATTCACGTTTTTTTTTTTTAGAATTTATGTTAACCATTCAAGAAAAATGGTGCAATCAGAATTTGTCGGTCGGACTTAATTTTGAAGTTATGGCCTTTGGTAATCACTAATCAGCAATTTTGCGTTTTTTTACTCGTTGGCAATTCACTATAATTTACCATGCTCTTCATACGTTTTATTATTCAATTTTGGTAGTAGGGTATTCTTATCTTTTCAAAACGATAGATTTTTAAATTTGTAAATGGAGCATAGACAAGAATAAGTAGTTGATTTCTTCGCCTACCGGATCCGGTCACCAGACTCGATGGCCAGTTGTAGCAACATAAGTATACATTGTCTGCAGTCAACAAACTCGATTTGTATATTTGATATTTTATTATTATGGAAATTAGATTATAATTCACCATTAAAGTGTAATTACAGCAAGTGTTAAAATTAACTTGATGCGCCGTGACCAACGTGGGTAAGCGACAACAATAATAAAATAAGTAAAGTATATAATTAGTAATGACGTTATATCACCACAACTTCAAAATTAAATTTTGACCGAACCATCATTCTTAGCTCATTAATATACGTAACTAAGTTTCAAAAGAAAATATACCGAAAGACTAGTTTAACGTGGCGTTGTGCTCATGCGTAAAACACAGTTTATCAGAGCTTCCAAAGGCTATAGGTAACTTTGAAATTAAGTCCGACCGACAAATTCTGTTTGGACCATTCAATTTAAATAGTATATAAGTAAGTTCCAAAAAATAATAATTTGCATGGGGTGATAAAGTGCATATTAGCTAGAGCCATGTAGTATCTAGGAACGTTATGTTTCTACTGTTTCTAGGGGCATCACTAATTTTTTTTTTGCCCTTTAGGTTTGTATTGAACATGTTTCAACCGAATATGCCAGCATATTGGTTAACTAGAGCTCGCTTATCAAACTAATGATGTTCTAGATAATAAAGTTACTTAGTTACCATTCCCATGTACTGCACGTTATAGGACATAACTATGAATGCACTCCTATTAAAACTATTAGGTTAATACTCAATGATTAATGCCATAGTTTCTGAATTTTTAGATCCCTATATAATTGTCTGTAATAATGGTTTGATTTTGCTCAAAGCAGCTATGAATTGCCGCCAAAAATATTTAGCAAAGAGGTTGCGATTTAGTTAACTGCGGTAAAAACGTGTTGCTGACTAACCGCTATCGTGGTTCGCCGGTGTGCGCCGCTACTGCTGCGGATATTCCAGCGGCCATTTTTTTTGTTTACGAGACGCTATCTCGACCCATGGGCTATGTCTGTAGCGTCTTCTCAGTTCTCATCCTTCAACTCTGTTCTCGTTCCTATTTTTAGACGCGTACATTTTTACTTAAATAATTATTTTGTATTGTTACATAGTGTAGTTTCAATATTTAGTAAATAATCAAGCGTGTTAGTATTAATATTTTTTTTGTAAGCGGACGTATCGCCCTCATCAGGAATGGCCGACAACCAACAACAAAACGGCTCTCAACAGTTTGAAAACGCCGCTGACACGCAGCAGCAACAACAGCACCTAAATGGCACCGCCGATAATTCCACAACAAACAATGATTCCGGACAATTTGAATGCGTCCGGGACGACGACAGGTAAGACGAATCGGCCACTAAAATTAAAAGAAAACGTCCAGCGTGTGCTAGCCGCCGTCAGGCGCCAACGCGGAAACATCGGGTACGGTGTTCTCTAGATACGATTTTCTGGGCTATCTAGCAATTTCTCAAGTCTCATCGTTTTTTCATGGCCGTTTGTTCTGAAATACTTGAAATTGTTTTGCCTCTGTTCTTACCCGAACATTTTGTTATTACCAATGAGGTTAGGATTCGAAGTCCGCTTCTGAGCCCAAAACAGTTTCGTGCCAACCGTTGGTTTTTATTACATTACGAAATAACTTGAACCATATTATGCATCTTCGTTGCCCCGAAGTTGTTTCGTATCGAGTTCGTTCTTTAATTTGMCTTGCATTTCAAAAGTTAATCCTATTCTTGTGTTGCAGAAAAATATTCGTCGGTGGGCTCAAAGGAGAAACTACTGAAAGTAAGTTAATGTCAAACACTTGTTGGTAGTTCCTAAAAATCATAATCGATTACTTTTAATGTTTTAGAAGATTTAAGTGAACACTTTGGTCAGTTTGGTGAAATTGAAAATATTAATGTTAAAGTAGATGCTGCCACTGGTCGAGCGAGAGGTTTTGCTTTCATTGTATACAAGACAATGGAAGGCCTAGAAAATGTAAGTACACCATTTCATTTTATTAATTTATTGATTCTTATATCTGAACAACCATTTTTACAAATATTTGTAAAGCACTTGGGTGATAATTTAGATGATGTCATTTATTAAGGGGCATTGTAGGCAATTTTGTGTGCGTATGTTTTTGTGTGAAAAATCATTTTATAGTAAATTTTCAAAAAGTATTCACTTGTGTAAGTTGTCATAATTTTCACTTATTGTTTTGTGGGTGACCAAAATACACTCAAAATTCACTCACTTTTCATACTTCATACATAATGTATAGCTGTAATAATACTTATTAGTGCAGTATGATGGTAATTAAAATAAGGTTTTTATTCAAAAATATGTAGTGTAATAATCCATAGAAATTAACAATACAAAAGAGTTATTTATTGTAATTCAGGAAATAATTGTAATTTTATATATTGATAATTTTTATTAATTATTGAATATTATTTACAATTTTCTTAAATAAGAGGTTTTTATGCAGATTTTATAATAGTCTTAAGTTAACAATTGTCTGTTATTGTATGGCTTTTCAAATAATCATTGAAATTATRCTAAAAAAGTTTACTTTACTATGAAAAAGTATGAATATATTTAAAATTTACTTTATGTACCATATGAGTTTTAGTATTTATTTTTACCACTATTTTATTTCAAGTTAAAACCTCCAAAAGGTAATTTAATAGTTATGTAAGTAATATTATAGTTTAGGTTTCTGATAACATAATTATGATAGTGAATAATATTTTCTTTTTATTCTATTAATTTGGATATTCTTATTATGTAAATGTATTTTTATTGAAAATTATTTTATTTTAAAAAGGCCTTGGCATGTACTAATCATGTAATCAATGACAAGAAAATTGACCCTAAAAAAGCTAAAGCACGACATGTCAAATTATTTGTTGGAGGATTGTCTCCTGATTTAACTGATGATGACATTAAAGATTATTTCAAACGTTATGCACCTCTGGTGAATGCTGAGATGCCATATGATAAAGTTAAAAACCAACGAAAAGGTTTTTGCTTTGTTACATTTGATTGCATGCAGGCTGTAACTGAAATATTAAAAACGCCGAAACATGTGATCAATGGAAAACAAGTAAATAATTAATATTTATAATTACTCAAATTATTTTATTCCT